CCATTCACCATAGACAATAGGGGGGAACAGCTAAACTCATTTAGCCATCCCGGCCCCCCTAGGCGAGTCTTCAGCCTAGTAGCTGCTGGAGTTGCTGCAGGGTCTCCACGACGTTGCTTAGTCCGGTTGCCCGACGGGGGCGTTGCGTGGGCTGGTGTCGGCGACGGGTCCCTGCTGGAGCGCGATAGCGAGCCCCGGGGTGGTTAAAAGTGCGGTGGCCCTGTTGTGCTGGTGGTCGCCGCGATCGTGCTATATTGCCCTGCGGTCTTCGTCGCCCATTGCTGCGGGCAACTGGTGTCTCGGGCATGATTCGTGCGGGGATGCGATGCAACAGCGTGTGGTGCGGTCTGTCGCACAGTTGGCACATGATGGGGGAGTCGCACTCCCTCGTGGCGTGCGACAGCGCCAAGCAGTTCAGGCAGTACCCATGAGCTTGCGCGACTTGCTGGCGCTGCGGCGGCTGCATACTCCTAAAAATGGAGCATAGGCGGAGTTTGTGTGGGCGACGACACAGTGGGCATCGTACGCCATGTACGGCTGCTGGGCTCCTTTGTGGAGGTTCGGCACGTAGTGATGCCATCGGGGCGGCGGCGGGTCGTTGCGTGGGGTTTCGAGGCGCTGCGGCCGGAGCTGCTGCGGTACGTGGCACGGTAGAGCGAGGAGCTGCTACTGGCGGTGCTGCCGAGCGGGGCACGGTGATTGCCGAACGGATAGTTGGCGTTGGTGCGGCTTCAAGCATTTCCACGTCCATATTTTCCTACATTAGGGGAGAACGGACTTTAGTATAGCATACATCAGTTATGAGCGTGATTGCTAGGTGTAAGCCACTTGGTGTGAGTTCGAGGGTACGGATTTAGGCACTTTTTATATTATCGGGTTTTGTTACGGCTTCGTTGCGTTTATTGCGGTTTGACGATTTTAGCTATCGGTATTCGCGCCATCGGTAGGGGAGGCGGTTGGAAGGAAACATAGCTTGACGAGCGGTCGAGTTAGTATGCCGCTTTGTGTACGGAGATCAGCTACGCGGACATGACCGTCGGAGCCATGATATACTTTCTCTATGCGGCCGAGCCGCCATTCCGTAGGGGGAAGACATTCGTCATGAATTAGGACACAGTCTCCAATCTTTGGCGCTTCTTGAGTGTTTTTCCATCGGTATCTTTTATGGAGGTCTTTTAGATATTCCTCCTTCCATCGACGGCTAAATTCGTGATGGAGAACTTTAATTCTTTCCCATCGATTTGTGAGTGATAGGGATTGCGTTTCTGGCTCAGGTATGGCCAGAAGTGGAGCTCCTCTGAGAAAATGCCCAGGGGTGAGGGCTGTGAACTCGGAGGGATCTTGCGAGAGGGTATTGAGAGGCCGTGAGTTGAGAACGGCTTCAATTCGAGCTAATAGAGTGGTGAACTCTTCATAAGTAAATTTGTAATTACCAGCGATCTTCTTGAAATGCGCTTTAAAGCTTTTTACGGCGGATTCCCAGAGTCCCCCCATGTGTGGAGCGCTAGGGGGAATAAATTGCCAATTAATTCCTTGGGGTGCATATTTCTTTATGATTTCAGGCGAGACTTCCTTAATAAATTGGATAAATTGCCTTTCCGTGGCCCTTTGGGCTCCGACGAATGTTTTGCCATTGTCGCTCATTATTTTTGAGGGAAATCCACGCCTTCCGACAAAGCGGGCAAATGCCGCGTGAAAAGCTACAGTTGTCAGATCTGAACATAACTCAAGGTGTACCGCTTTTGTCGAAAAACATACAAAAACGGCCACATAGCCCTTCGTAAAGGTGGAAGACCTTAACATAGAGGCCTTTATCTGGAAAGGCCCCGCAAAGTCAACACCCGTGATGGTAAAGGGCAAAGAGAAATTGCAGCGTTCAGGTGGTAGAGCTGCCATGATCTGCGTGCGCATTTTCTGCTTATGTAGAGTGCAGACTTTACACAGGAAAATACATTTCTTTATCTGAGGCTTTAGTCGTGGGATATAAAGCTCTTGTCGTATCATTTGCTGCATGAGCCGAAGTTCGGCATGTAGCATCAATAAGTGCAAATAATTTATGTACAGTGTGGCGAATGGGGATTTTTCGGGTATTATTATTGGGTGCCGCTCGTTATAACTCAAACTGGAGTTTGCCAGACGTCCATTGGCGCGTAGCAGTCCCTTCGAGTCTAGGAAGGGATTAAGAGCTAAGAGTGGGCTCTTTTTATCTATTGGCTTTGATACCATCAAAAGTGCTATTTCCCGGTCATAATAGCGGGTCTGAGTAGACATAATCAGAGTCATTTTAGCCCGTTGCAGATCTTGGTGTGTTAGTGCATGATGCGGGGGGGTTAGGCGCTCCTTTTACTTTATTTTTGAGGCGAGTTATGAACTGAAACATATAAGCTATTACTCTGAGGGCTCGGGGGAACGATGAAAATCGCTCCAGTATGTCAGTATCATTCAATACGGCATGAAAGCTTTCAATTTTTCGACTTTCGGGGGGTATTATGTTGCGTATCGGGGATTGTGGCCAGAATTCTTGTGATTCTGTTAGCCAGCTGGGGCCGTTCCACCAGAGTGAGGTGGTGGCGAGATGCAGGGGTTTGCAACCTCTTGTGCCAAGATCGGCTGGGTTGTCAGCACTGGCTACATGTCGCCAAGTTGCTGGCCCAACTAAGTCAATTATTTGGGCTGTGCGGTTTGACACATATGTCTTCCACATATGGGGTGGTTTTTCTAACCAAGCTAAAACTATTCCAGAGTCAGTCCATAGATGTAATTTGCGATTGTTCAGGCTTAAGTGGGTTTGAACGGTGGAGGCTAGTTTTGCAAGGAGGAGCGCCCCGCATAGCTCAAGTCGTGGTAGGCTTACGGTCTTTAGCGGAGCCACTTTGCCTTTTGCGACTAGCAAGTGGCTTGTTGTTTTGCTATCTTGTTGTGTGCGCACGTATATAGTAGCGCAGTATGCCTTTTCAGAGGCGTCGCAGAAGCCGTGAAGTTCGACTTGATGTTCGGGAGAGTAGTTTACCCATCGAGGGATTTGTATTTCCGAAATAGTGTTCAGATTGTTGGCAAATTGGGACCATTTTATCAAGCGTAGTGGTTTAACTTGTTCGTCCCAATCTGTTCCGTCTAGCCACAATTCTTGAATGAGTATCTTTGCTTGGATCATAATTGGTGCAAGCCATCCTGCGGGGTCAAAAAGTTTTGCCACAGACGACAGGATTTGCCTTTTGGTTTTTGCGGATATTGCAGATATTGACTCAAGAGTGTATGAGAATTGATCTGATATCGCATTCCATCGTATTCCCAGAGTTTTGGTGGTACTTTCTTTTTCAAAGATGAGGAAGTTTGTGTCTAATACGTGATCTTTATTTATATTTTTTAATATTTCGGGGTGGTTGGCCGTTACCTTTTTTAAGGGGAACCCTGCGGAGTTGAGGGCTTGGATCACTTGAGATAGTGATTCGCATGCTTGGGGTAAGCTGTGGCTTCCCGACAGGATATCGTCCACATAAGTTTGTGTTTTTAACACCGGGGTTGCTAGAGGCAATTTTTCTTTTATATCGTTTGCCAATTCGTGAAGTGTTCGAATGGCAAGAAAGGGGGCGCAATTTACGCCAAATGTCACCGTTTTTAATTTGTAGTCGCGTATTGGACTACTAGGTGAATTGCGAAATATAATGCGCTGAAAATCTTGGTCGTTTTTATGCACAAGGATTTGTCTGTACATTTTTTCGACATCCCCATTGAAAACGTATTTAAACATGCGCCAATTTAGTATTAGGAGCATTAAATCAGGTTGTAGTGTGGGTCCCGTATATAATACGTCATTTAATGAATTGCCTGAGCTTGTGCATTTCGAGGCATTGAATACAACTCTTACTTTTGTTGTAAGTTTTTCTGGCTTTATTACTGCATGGTGTGGGAGGTAAAATGAAGTATATTTACCTTTTGTAATTTTTTCATATGACTCGACTACTTCCATATGATTTAATTGGAGGTATTCCTCGAGTACATTGTCATACGAGGTCTTTAGCTCGCCTTTTTTAAGCAGGTTTTTTTCCATACTTAAAAATTGCTGAAGTGCTGAGGTTCGAGAGTGGCCTAAAGCGAGTGTGTCGGGAAATTGTGGCTTGAATGGTAGCCGTACAACGTAGCGGCCGTTTTTTGATCTTGTAGTTGTGGCTTTATAATAGTCTTCACAATACTTATCTTCTGGGGTAATGACTTGCATGGGGGGGAGTTCTTCTAACTCCCAAAATCTTCTTAATTGAGAATTGAGGTGTTCGTTTGAAATATCTTCAACTTGTGTTGTGAATACCGATATTTTTTCTTTTATTTGGCCGCTCAATATCCATCCAAAGATGGTATTTTGGGCTAACAGGGTATTTGAAATTTTCTCAATGCCTTCTAGCATTATTTGGGGGATTAGGTCGCTGCCTAATAGGATATCAACTTGCGCGGGGGTGTGGCAGTTGGGATCCGCTAATTTTAGGTGGGCAAATTTTTGGCGATCTTTGCCATTTACTTTATAGCTTGGAAGCATATTTGTAAGTTGCGGCAGAACTATGGCGTGTGCCTCTATTCTTACATCCGCATTGGGGGAAATCAGGGTTAATGAGCATATTTTATTAGAGTTTTGTATTACTCTTCCACCCATTCCCGAAATTTCAAAGTTTGAGTTTGTGGTTGGGAGTTTTAGCCGGTTTTGTACTTTTGATGAGATAAACGATCTTTGTGAGCCTTGATCGATTAGAGCTCTAAGCTTGAATAATTCTCCTCGATGTTCAATCGAGACAATCGCGGTTGGCAGTAAAATTTTGCTTTCATTTTCGGAATGAAGCGCTTGTATATTTGCTGTTTTTGAACAGCATGGTTTCTCGGTTTCGTTTTCGAGATTTTCGGGGTGTTCGGGTCTAGCTGTTGCAACTAGCCCTGTGGCTCTTTGTGAGTTGGAGCTGTTTTGGGGGGTAAAATTATTAATGTGGAGCATCGAGTGATGCCTCTTTTGGCAGTATACACAATTGAATTTACTTTCACAGTCTTTTTGGATGTGAGAATGTGAGAAGCAATTTGTGCAAAGTCTATTATTTCTAACGACATTATATCGTTCGGTTGTTGTAAGTTTTTTAAACTTCTCGCAAGATCTTAATGAGTGACCTCCTTTACAAAATTCGCATGACATACGTTTGTTCTGTTCTGAGATGAACGATTGAGTTCTGTTGAAGCTTCGATTATGTAAATTATTGTTACTGGCTTGGGGTCTATTGTAGCTTCTATTGAGGTCGAGCTGTGTATTTTTCGGCTTTGATATTTTTTTATCTACCCTTTCTGCGATTTCGAATTGGGTAGTGAGGAAGTCTTTCATTTGTTGCCACGTTGGGCATTTTTTTCGGGATGAGAGCGATTGCTCCCATAAGAGTAACGATTTTTCTGGTAAAGTTGCAGCGCATACGTTTACCAGAATAGGGTCCCAACTATCCGTGGGAATTTTCTGTGTCGCGAGAACCGACAAACAGTTTGATACAGTGGACTGTAATTTCATGAATTCTTCGCTTGTTTCCTTTTGAATTTTTGGCAAGTTCATTAAAATCGTTATTTGATTGTCGACCAATACTCTTTCATTCTCATATCGTGATTTTAATGCTTCCCAAGCCAGATTAAAATTATCGTCACTAAGTGCGAATTGTTTAACTATAGCGCCTGCTTGACCTTTTGTTTTGTATCTGAGGTGGTACAGTTTTTGCGCTTGAGATAACTTTGGATGGTTTATGTATACGGCTGTAAACATGTCCCGGAAGGACGGCCATTGTTCATAACCTCCATGAAATACTTCTGTATCACATGCTGGCACTTTAAGATGTATGCCTGAACTTGCTTCTTGGATTTGTATCTGGGGCAGCTCTACTCTCGGGGGTGGAGTAGGTGCATTTAATGGCTTTATTAATTTTAGTTGATCGGAAATCATAGCCTTTGTTTCTTCGTATTGGTCTAAGCAATTTTCATATTTGGCGTAAGCCGAGGATTTAAAATTTTCAGGTAAATCTGAATCCTCAGTTTCAATTATGGCGTCGTAAGCCGATTGGAGACGTGTCCAAAAATTATCAAGACTTTGGGTTTTTACTTCCAGAACTGATTCTGAATTGTCTTGGATAGGGGCTGCGGAAAACCTAGTGCAGTATCTTATTAGACTGTCACTTTCCGCAATAAATTTTGCGGCCGAAAAATCTTTGGTCTTTTTTTGCTTCGCACCCTGTTTTGAGCGTGTAGCTTCTGCAGGGGTGCTTTGATGCTTATCTTCGTCAACCATTTTCGGTATATCTAGCAATTGAGGTGTTTTCGGTTCTTTGATGGGAGACTTGTTCGTTTGCATTTAAATGTGAACTCGAGAATTTATAAAATTGTTTTTTTTTCTATGTATCTTAATACCCACGAATGATGGAATAATGTGAGTGCCCGTATAGTCGATCGGATTTTGACTTACTTTTCTTTATAGTGACACAATGTATCCGCAATACTCTCTTTCGAGTTTTATTATTTACGTCCGTATGTATGACTATTTTTTTTCGTAATATAAATTTTAATAATTTCGATGGGTTGGTATTTTTTTTTTTCTTTCAATTAAAAATTGCTCATTAAATTATCGCAAATTAAATCTTTAACTTGAGGGATTTTATTTTTCCGCGCTTCTTAATATTTTTCCTTTACGTGCGCCGTATAAGGTATATGCACTACTGGGTTAGTAGGTATGTATGTCAGTATATTAATGTTTGCACGCAATGCTACCATATATTAACATAGGTTAAGCGCGGGTGGTTAACAATAGTTAGTGTGTGTGTAACTATGTTTACTAGCGAAGGACGGGAGAAAGAGATAATTTATAATTTCGTTTTCGTTGCTTTGTATATGATGTATGCCCGTTTGTGTTTTCAAAATTATTTTGGGTTCAAAGAACGGGAGTATGTACATATGTATATTGACCACCAATATTAAGCCTGTATTATATTAGGTGAAGAAATGGCAATTGGGGAATAATGTTATGTCGTATGTATTGTTGTGCTTATGTGCACATACGCTATTCGTTATTTTGCCGCCAATTCTTATTAGTTATTATTTTGCTTTGTAGCTTACTTGTTTATGCAATCCTGCTTGCTGTTTGTTATACAAACAGAAGGGGTATTGCTGGAAATATTTGCAAGTTTCCACTTGAATATGTTTTGCGGTATAATTGTTTGTGTTTTATTACACGAAATTTAAGCACATAAGCGGAGGAATTCTTGTTATTGATATATAGTTTCTAAAGCGAACTGTATTTATTTTGGGTGATTTCTGTATGTACTTACATACAGTATTTATTTATATATGTATAATTATTTATGCGCCTTTTATGTTAAGCTAAGCTGGGGTGTAAGTTTATTAAGTGGACTGTATATATATGTTTATAGGGCAATATCATATGTGTGTACATATGTATTTGGGTATCTACGTATATGAACGTGATTTGAATTTTCACCGCCAGCTGAAAATGAGGTTATGGGAATTAAATTCGAGTTAATTTAACCCCAGTTCGCTTTTTCACCAGATTTTTAGGTTAGTTAAAAATAAGTGGAACGATACAACTCACTTTGATATATTAAGGGCTTTGGGGTATTATGGGCTGCTCTTGCTGGTGAACTGTATTGTTCTTTGGTGGGCCTGCGCTTGGACTAATATCCTCCTCCCTCGTTGTCTTTGCGTCCTCGCTTAATATTGCTGCTTGGCTGTTGGTTGTCCTCTATTTTTATTATTGAAGATTATTATTTTTTTTTGTTTTCGCGCCCGAAATTTTGTTTTGTGTAAATTTTGTTTACGCGGCGCGCCCGTGCAATTAAATTTTATATAATTTTTTAAAAGGTTCCTATTTGTTCACTTGTGCGCTTATTTGCTTATATATTTATGTACATATGTATTTGCTTTAGTGTTCTTTTTTTTCACTGTTTTCACTCTTTTATTTTTTTTTTGAGTAATTTAAGTTTTTAAAGGTGCCTGTCTGTTTGGCGCAGAAGGACCATC